TTTTTTTTTCCTAACCATTTCTTCCGCCATGGGGATGGCCACATGACCGCTGATTTTACTTTCAAGCTTTAAAAAAGACCCCTCCTGTCTATTCAAGGTAGAAAATTTGAAAACATTTGCTAACCGGGGTGCATTTCCTGCAATTACATCTGCAACCGAACACAGAGGCCAGAAATAGACAATAAAGTTGTTTTCAGATCATTAACATGTTTGAAAAAGCACCGGCTGTTTATTATCACGTACACTTATCCCATTTTTGCCACTGGTAAACCTTGGCAAAAGTTTCTGTAGGTGTAGAACCACAGCTGGGACCTCAATTTGAGTTGCTAAATGATGGGATGGTTAAGCCAGGGATCATATGACCAGACCCAATTTTACCATCTTTTTTACTGTGGTCTTTAAACGAACCACACAGTCATTATGTGAACCATGTAGTCATTTAAGTCAGGGCTTTTCAACCTTTTCACCCATTGTACCACTTTTAGGATATGGCAACATCCGAGTACCACCAGTGGCCTAGCAAGGCGTCAAAAACTTGATGACAAAAAAAAAGGAAAAAAAGTGACGAAGTACAGGTAGTCCTCGACTTACAACAGTTTGCTTACTGACTGTTCGAAGTTACAATGGCACTGAAAAAAGTGCCCCTTCCCAAGCCACAGCCGAGCAAGACACCTGCCTGCCCACCCGGCGGCACTCTTCCTCCTGTCCAAGGTTTTCATTGTTGTGAGCATTTCTGTTGAGGATTGGCAGCGGGGGTGGGGTGGGGGGGGTGTTTGTTTTTTATTCCCCCATCTGTTGGGTAGTTGTAGCAGGTTTTGGTCACTTCACATGACTCTGGGACACTGTGACCGTCATAAATATGAATCAGTTGCCAAGCATCTGAATGTAAATCACAAGACCCTGGAGATGCTGCAACATTCCAGCTGATCGGCGCTTCTTCAGGGCTCAGCAGAAGCGCCAGGATCAGCTCCGAGCTCCAGCTGGAGCCTGGCGCTGATCCTGGCGCTTCCGCTGAGCCCTGACAGCCCTGCAGCTGCAGCCATCTCTCGCTCAGGCTTGTGCGGTGCTGCCACCGGTTCAGCTCATTCCCCACCCACCACTACCACTTTTCTAGGATGGTCACGTACCACCTGCCAGGTGCCAATGTACCACAGGTGGTACCCGTACCACTGATTGAAAAGCCCTGATTTAAGTGATACACAGAGTTGTTAAGAAAATCTGGCTTTCCCCATTGACGTTGCTTGTTGGAAGATGGCAAGACATTGCAGCCCTCATAAATGTGAGCAGGTTGCCAAGCACCCGAATAACAATCACACGACTGTGGGTATGATGTGATGGTCGTAACCTCGAAGACAGGGGATAAGTCACTTTTTTCAGCATTGTCATAACTCTGAACCATTTTTAAAGGAGTGGTCATAACTGGAGACTACCTATATTGCGTCAAGGTGCTAAATTCAGGATGCTGGAGTTATTGCATTATCATTCATGACTGTTGTTATTAATGCTCACTTCCCTTATTTTAAGATCTTTATCAACAGATTGTGCTTTTTAAAGATGATACCATTTTATTTATGACCTCGATTCAAAATTCTGATGGATGCTCCCATTCCAGTGATCACATTTTAAGTGCTCAGCATTCTGCCTGTATAACAGCCACTTGCAGCATCCCACATTCACACAACCATGATTGCCAGAAACCGGTGTTTACTTCCAGTTTTTGGCAAAAAACATCCATTGAGGACAATGGATTTCCTTAATGACTGCTGGGTTCACTTAACAATCGGTGCACAAAAGAAGTAAAGTGTATGACATGTATGACCACCTGAGGACACGTGATGACAATTGGCATGACTTACAATCGTAATTCTGGACTCAATTATTATGGTGACAAGTCAAGGACTAGCTGTATGTGGGTTTGTGCTTCATGTTTATGTCTAATTAAGTGGCAGCATTTAGCTGAGCATGGAAGATGAAGCACCGTCATGCAGCCATTACAAAAATTTCAAAGTGAACAAGTTCTTAAAGACCAAGACAAGAATGGAACAATGCTCTATTTCCTTTTGCATATAATCACTTTAGATCAGGGTTTCTCAAACTTGGCAATGTTAAGATGTGCGGACTTCAACTCCCAGAATTCCCTAGCCAGCACTCTTTTACATCATTTTTTAAAAATGGATTGCAACTCACCCTGAGATCCTTAGGAGGCTGACCATGAACATAATGTGGTTTTAATTGGTTATTTATAACCATCCCGATGTGAAGTGTGATCATCTGTACTAAATGGATGTGGTTTGTGACACCAGAAAGTTTGTGTGCTGTATCAGTTGCAACAAATGCTGTTTCATTTGCCTGATGTTGGTGCCTCTCTTATGATTCTCCTACTGGTTGATTTTGCGATCATTGTAATGTTGTTTCGTTGTTCTGCCTAGCTAGAATCAAGATGACCTCAGCTGCCCCAACGTCTGATTATTCCCTGCCTTGGAAGAATGTGACTACAAAGTCTCGAGAGCAAATCCTTTATCAGAGTAAGAAAGGGCAAGGGTGCCATTGGGAGATTTTATGGACTGTGGGTTTTTCACCACTAATGTGTGAATAGGAGTAAAAGAAACATCTTCAGGATCTGAATGAAACAGCTCTGTACTTGCTCTGACAAGGTCCCAGTTGCTGCAGAGGTGACAATTAATAATTCTTTCAACTGGAAACTGAATTGGAAATGTGTAGGTGGGGTCCTTGGTGCTCTCTGAGCTTGGTTGTTTTCTTGCAGACGTTTCATTACCCAACTAAGTAACACCATCAGTGCTAGAGGGGAATGGGGTGTCATTATCTCTGTTTATGTACAAGTGGCTTGCCCTATCAGTGTTGATGCGAGTATTGGTGGGTGTTATAATATTAATTAAAAGATGCTTGCTCCTGTGGAGGAAAGCTATGGCAAATCTAGACAGCATACTAAAAAGCAGAGACATCACCCTGCCAACAAAAGTGCGCATAGTCAAGGCCATGGTTTTCCCAGTTGCAATATATGGCTGTGAAAGTTGGACCATAAGAAAGGCTGAGCGCCAAAGAATGGAGGCCTTTGAACTCTGGTGCTGGAGAAGACTCCTGCGAGTCCCCTGGATTGCAAGGCGATCCAACCGGTCAGTCCTAGAGGAGATCAACCCCGACTGCTCTTTAGAAGGCCAGATCCTGAAGTTGAAACTCAAGTACTTTGGCCACCTAATGAGAAGGAAGGACTCACTGGAGAAGAGCCTGATGCTGGGAAAGATGGAGGGCAAGAGAAGAAGGGGACGACAGAGAAGGAGGTGGCTGGATGGAGTCACTGAAGCAGGAGGCGTGAGCTTAAATGGACTTCAGAAGATGGTAGAGGACAGGAAGGCCTGGAGGAACGTTGTCCATGGGGTCACGATGGGTCGGACACAACTTCGCAACTAACAACAACAACATAATATATTTTTGATCCTAAAGGAGTTAAATGTTTCATTTCAGTAAACTATAGACATAAGTTTTAATCTATGATGTCAGATGGTGGTATATAAAGATGGAATGAAGAGATATAGTGAGGTATAAAATTTAACCCTTTTTGTTTGCTTTCATTTTCAATCCATAACATAAACCCGAAAATACAGTTATCATAATCCATTAATTGTCATGTTAGGCCATGCATTAAGAAAATAAAATCAGGTATGTCCGAACTGGTAAGTTGCTGATTTACCAAAGAAAGCCAGTTTGGTGTAGTGGTTAAGATTCAAGCTACAAATCAGGAGATCAAGAGTTCTAATCCTGTCTTAGGCACAAAGCCAGCTGGGCAATCTTGAGCCAATTCCTCTCTGTCAATGGCAAACTACTTTCAAAATATTGCCAGATATTTGCAAGAACTAATCTGATGCTGACTCAAAGGCACAAATAAATGAAATTAGTAAAAATTTGTAAAAGGTGGTGTTCCATGGGGGATGTAAGGACATTCTCACCGAGCCCCTCTCCCCCCAAAAAACCTATAAGGCCATCACTGCCTTAATTACACAAATTAAATGAACACACTGAGTAAGCTGAGGGTTACTTGTACCTCAATTTTCTCTCAAGGGTAAATTAAACTTATAGTAAATAAAAGTAATGTTCCTGACAAAACAGTCAAAAATAAGATAACATTTTGGGATATTTTTGTACATATCCTGGGACAGGGGTAGGGAACCTTGGCTCTTTTATGACTCGTGGACTTCAACTCCCAGAATTCCTGAGCCGGCATGGCTCAGCATGGAAACCTCTCCCTTTCTCCTCAGCATGGCTGGCTGAGGAATTCTGGGAGTTGAAGTCCACGAGTCATAAAAGAGCCAAGGTTGCCTACCCCTGTCCTAGAACATGGGAATTATATTTTATGATAAGCTGGCAACTGAGCTGTATTTAAAAAGTCTGCACATACATACAGATCTGCTTTATCAGGTTGCTATTTTTCTTTCTCCTCATTAGGTTCTGGAGCAATAGTAGCAGCTATTGTTGTGGGTGTCGTAGTAATATTTACAACAGTTCTGCTCATCCTTAAAATGTATAACAGGTTAGTAGTCATTTGATTTTTTTTTCCCCTCCAGTTCTTTTCATTCTTTAGGAGAACAATTTACTGACTAGATGCAATCACTCTGTTCATAGATATCTGGAGTGGGAGGAGGCAATGACATTGCATATGTAACGATATGACATTGCATATGTGATGATATTGTGATGTGCATGCGCTTATTTTTATGCCACTGTGTCCGAGGAAAGCTATTACAAGTAGTCCTCGACTTACAACAGTTCATTTAGTGACCATTTATGTTACAATGGCTCTGAAAAAAGTGACTTATGACCGTTTATCACACTTATGACCATTACAGCATCCCCATCATCATGTGATCAAAATTCAGATGCTTAGCAGCCAACTCATGACGTTTGCAGTGTCCAGCTTTTTTGACCTTTTGACAAGCAAAATCAATGGGGAAGCCAGATTCACTTAACAACCGTGCCACTAACTTAACAACTGCAGAGATTCCCTTAATAACTGTGGCAAGAAAGGTCACAAAATGGGGCAAAATTCACTTCACAAATGTTTTGCTCAGCAACGGAAATGTTGGGTTCAGTTGTGGTAAGTCGAGGACTACCTGTATTCTGATTATGTGTTCTCTGGGCATTTTTACCTCATAAATCCTGCTGTCGTCACATTTTTACATTCAGGGACTCTGCCATTTTCCTTTCTGTGAGATGTTGCAAGCTAACGTGCCATTTTTGTTTGTCAAAAACACAAATAGAAAGAGGAGATGGCCAAGAGCTGCTTCTGACTAAAGCAGTGTTTCTCAACCTTGACAATTTTAAAGCATGTGGACTTCAACTCCCAGAATTCCACAGCCAGCATTGCTGGCTGTGGAATTCTGGGAGTTGAAGTCCACATGCCTTAAAATTGTCAAGGTTGAGAAACACTGGACTAAAGCAACCAAAAGCCTGGTAAATAAATCAGATTGATTGATTTAATAAACAATGAGCACTTCTAGCAACAATGAATCTCTTTTTTTAAAAACAAGTTTTATTAATTTTCCAATTTTATAAAACTCCAGGTATTAAGGAAGCAACATGGTGATTGGGTAATCCATAATCCCATAACAAGTTCTTTCATATACTGTATATATCAGGTTACATCATCAAAAATTCCCTCTCTGTTTCCTTTGGTTATTATATCACATTCAAATTAATACATTGCTAGTTATAACTCAATCGGTTAAAACATTTATCAATATCTTTTGACTTATACGCCTCCATGTCCTGTTTCTAACTTTTATCTAATTTCAGTTACAGTATTCCAGTTAGCTTAGTGTCCATAATAATTAGGTTTCGGATAATCCACGGTCCCCTTAGTTCATTACAAAATAGTTATCGTATCTAAGATACACTTATTATTTACTCAAATAAATTCTTACTTTATTTCACAATCGTATTCTATTTCTCATCCTAATATCATCACTTACTTATAGAATAACCTTTATCGTCTTATAAGGGAACTAAAAACTAGTTATTAGAATAATAGTTTTGAATTATAATATAGAAGATGGATTGAGACGATAAAGACAATGAATCTCTTTTGTTCATGGCTATTTGTGATCTGTTTTTAATATTATACATCACCCCAAGTTTTTTTGAGCTGGACAGCCTTACAAATCTAATAAATTAAAGTAGCCACATCAGGACCTGCTGGGCATTCTTAATGTATAGTGTACAGGTAGGCCATCAATTTGCAATCGTTCATTCAATGACCATTTCAAGTTATATTGGTACCATAAAAAGTGACTTACGACTGGTCCTCACAGCATCCCCATGGTCACGTGATCAGAATTCAGGCGCTTGGCAACCATCATGTATTTGCAATGGTTGCAGCATCCTGGGGTCACGTGATCGCCATTTGCAACCTTCCCAGCTGGCTTCCAACGAGCAAAGTCAACGGGAGAAGCCAAATTTCTTAACCACCGCACGATGCACATGACCACAGTGATTTGCTTAACAATCGTAGCAAAAAAAGGGTATACAATTCAGTGTAATGTACTTAACAACCATCTTGCTTAGCAACAGAAATTCTGATCCCAATTATGATTGTAAGTTGAGAAGTGCCTGTATATTTTTAGAGCTGCAAAGAATTCGGGAAGAATGGGTATAAGAGAAAGAAAATCTATAATCCCCCTACACCCTACCAGTGCTACAACACTGGAGGTTTTTAAGAAGATACTGGACAACCATTTGTCTGAAATGGTATAAGGCAGGGGTAGGCAACCTTGATTCTTTTATGATTCGTGGACTTCAACTCCCAGAATTCCTGAGCCAGCCATGCTGACGGGAAAGGGAGAGGTTTCCAAGCTGAGCCATTCTGGCTCAGGAATTCTGGGAGTTGAAGTCCACGAGTCATAAAAGAGCCAAGGTTGCCTACCCCTGGTATAAGGTTTCCTGCCTGAGCAGGAGGTTGGACTAGATGACCTCCAAGGTCACTTCCTTCTATTCCAGCAATTCTCAACCTATGGGTCGCGACCCCATTTGGGGTCGATCGACCATTTCACGGGGGTCGCCAAGCAAGGCTGTCCGCCATTTTTTTCCCCCTTTTCTGGCGGGTGCCTTACCTCCCTTGGGCTGGGCCAGCTGGTGGTCGGCCTGCTCCGTCTCTGCCGCTTGCCAGCTCCGCCTCGGCCGGTGCAGGGGGTGGAACCACACATGCGCGGCGTTCCCGGGCAGGGAAAGTCCTCGACTTACGACCGGTTGGGTAGTCCTCGACTTACGACCGGTTTAGTCCTCGACTTACGACCGGTTGGGGTGGCGGCATTAAAAAGGTTGAGAACCACTGTTCTATTCTGTTCTATTCTATTCTATTCTATTCTATTCTTTCTCATTTAATTTGATTTTTTAAAAAATTGCCCTGTAAAGTTTATTCAAAAAAAGAAAAAAGAATTTCAGGAATATTCTGCTGAATGGCCTCATCTTCTGGATACGTTCTCAGAAGAACAGCCTGTGCATCAGGACTGTGGTTTGCAAAAGCTGATCTACGACAGGGGTGTTTAGCTTTCAGGGGCCACAGCTTCTTGTCTTTTCTGCTGCACAACCAGCACACTAACACAAAGTCTGCTTTGTTCTTTGTAGGCACATGAGGACCAAACGAGAGCTGGAGCCAAAGAACGCGAAGACCGCCATTCCCTCAGTTTTAGGACAGGACAGTAGCACCTCTGCCAGGAACAGTGCAGTGACATTTGCCCCTGACATTCACCTGCCAAAGCGAAGACTTTGAAGAGGCAAAAAGTGGAGGAATAACCAGCAAGAAGTGAATTCTGCAGACGGTTGAGGAATGGAGTGGCTCCTATGGTCCATGTTTTTTTCCTTCTAGGAGGCAAAAGATGACCTCCAGGGGCAACAACTTGTATAAACTTTCCAGCTACTTGTTGGAAGGGATGGTGAGAAGCACAGCCACCATAATTCTCAGAACCAATGATTTCCTTCATATTTCCTCGCTCTGTTAATTTAGGCTCCGCTCCCATTGTCCTGTAAGTGAAAGTGACCTCCTGGATGGAGGCTGTGAAAACATCAGAGGGCTTACTCTTCATCTTGGTTTTTAGCAGATAATATAGGATCAATATTCTTACCACCAGTTGCCAAACCTCTTCCTCCATGGTCAACTTTCCATTAGGAGTTCCTTGTTTGTTGGCAGGCCAGTATTTTTCAACATTGGCTCTTTTAAGACGTGCTGGCTGGGGAATTCTGGGGGTTGAGGTCCACACATCTTAAACTTGCTCAAGTGGAGAAACGCTGGTTTAGCAAGGCAAGCAAAGAACTTGATTTCAACAATCATGTTTTGTGAGGCTGATTTTAGCCAGTCTCAAATTTTCTTGAGAATGAGGGTTTCTTCTCCAAGTCCAATCTTCACCTAACTGACTAGTGAGTTGATAACATTCAGTGGAGCAAAGCTCGAATTTTGGGGCTGCATTGTCAGGGCAGAAGATAGATGGAGACCTCTAGGTGAAGATGCTAGATATTTGTATATACAAAGCTGTGAGATGTTGTTTTGCTCTCCTTTTCATATGGGAACATGTGTGTCTTTAATGGCTTCCCTAAATGCTACAGGAAAAAGAAAATCAACAGATGGATTGTACTGAATGTTAAGGTGACCAATCGTCCTCCTTTTGTAAGTTCTGTCCTCTCTCGAAAAGTGTCCTCCTACATGTCCTCCTTTTCGATATTTGAAGAGTAATCTGTAAATCTCCGTATTCGATTGATGCCGAGCTGATCCGTTGCGTGTGATGTGACGTATTTGTATTTGACATGACGATTTGTCAAGGCTCGGCGAGACACGATTATGAGACGCATGCGCTCCACCCAGGAGAATTGTTTTGAGAGAGTACGCCGCACGCAAGTGGCTTTGTTTACTTCTTACCGAAACACGACACGGCACAGACGCACGCATTAGACTCACTTTTTTTTCTTCAATTTATTTGTGTCCTCCTCCTCATTTTAAAAAAGTTGGTCACCTTATGAATGTATAAAGTGGTTCTGGCTTATCCTGGTAAAAGTGTACTGTTCTCGCTTAGACTCTCAAGCACAAGAAACCACGAAGTGAATCCGAAGTGGGATTTCATGGGGAAAGTTGTGATCCTTTTGTGAGGCCCCAGTAAATAGTAATACAATCCTGTAGTCAATTTAGTATGCTAAATTCACGTTCCCATTCATTTAACTGAAACCTTGCAGCACAGTAATACGGTAGTTTTGGGAGATTTTAGAAGACTTTAGACAAGATTTTAGAATCTTGTCGCTGAAGTATCTGTATTTATTTCTTCTCTTTTTTCCTTTTAAATAAACTGAATGGAGAAATGATATTTTTAAAAAGTAAAATGTGGGGTATGACTAGATCTAGTTTGGGGGGGGGTGTCCGATGGATTTTTCTATAGTGATAGTGGATTTTTTTTAAAAAAAATTCCCATGCCAGGATTACTAAAATTTCATAGCCAATTCCTGGAGATTGTTTGCCCCAATTGTTAAAACTTCTCAGCACAGAATGAAAAGGTTCCCTAATACCTGACAGTGAATTCACTGGAACAGGAGGGTACATTGAAGCATTGATTAGCTTTCTGGCTAGAAGGGTGCACATTTTGGATTTGGGGGGCCTCAGAGGGCTAATTGGTCTGATCCAGTGGGGCCCTTGCTGTGTTGTCAACTGCCAGGGAGAAATAAGAGCCAAGGAACAGGGACCTCGTAGTCCTAGTGGACAATCCCTTAGATATGAGCCAGCAGTGTGCTGCAGCTGCCAAAAAAGCCAACACAGTGCTGGACTGCATTAACAGAGGGATAGAGTCAAGATCATGTGAAGTGTTAATACCACTTTACAATGCCTTGGTAAGGCCACACTTGGAATACTGCATCCAGTTTTGGTCACCACGATGTAAAAAAGATGTTGAGACTCTAGAAAGAGTACAGAGAAGAGCAACAAAGATGATTAGGGGACTGGAGGCTAAAACATACAAGGAACGGTTGCTGGAATTGGGTAGGTCTAGTTTAACGAAGAGAAGGACGAGGGGGGACACGATAGCAGTGTTCCAATATCTCAGGGGTTGCCACAAAGAAGAGGGAGTCAAGCTATTCTCCAAAGCACCTGAAGGCAGGAGAAGAAGCAATGGATGGAAATGAATCAAGGAGAGAAGCAACCTAGAACTAAGGAGAAACTCCTGACAGAACAATTAACCAGTGGAACAACCTGCCTCCAGAAGCGGTGAATGCTCCAACACTGGAAGTTTTAAAGAAGAGACTGGACAGCCATTTGTCCAAAATGGTGTAGGGTTTTCTGCCTGAGCAGGGGGTTGGACTTGATGACCTCCAAGGTCCCTTCCAACTTTATTATTATTATTACATGAAGCCACCTTTCTCCTCGCTATCCTTGGAAGCTCAGATTTTGCTTCAAGAGTACCATTTTTCTTTTTAGCTGCTCCTTCTCTGGTCTGAAGCCAAAGAGGTGTAAGAATTCAGCTGCTCTTGGAATCTAACTGGTCCCCATTCCAGCTGGTTGTAATAAGAACACAGTATTTGAGCTCGTTCTTTTCCCTCTACCTTCCCCATTATGTTTGTCTTATGGGGTTTTAAACTGTAAACCAGCAGGGAGAGAATGTCTTGTTCTTAATGTGGTNCGGGATTGGCCTAGGGGAATTTTTAGTGGGGTTTTAAGAATAATTTTAAATTGACACAGGCCACATCAAATATTTCATTTTAATTAGGTTTTAAAGTGGGTATTTTTATCTTTGTATCTGTTTTACCAGGCTGTCAGCCGCCCTGAGTCCGTAAGGAGAAGGGCGGGATAAAAATTCAAACAAATAAATAAATAAAATATGTTAATAGTAGTATTTAATATAAGTAGCCCTAGACGTGTGAACGTAATGAAGCCTGCTCTTTAATGTTGTAAGTCATGAAAGTCATACAGACCCGATTTTATGACCTTTTTTTAAAGTGTTCATTAAGCGAGCCAATTGTTCATTATGGGCCAGTTTTCCTGAAAACTGGAAGTAAATTTATTTATTTACTAGCTGTACCCGGCCACGCGTTGCTGTGGCTCAGTCTGGTTAAATGGAAAAGAAAGAAAAGAGAAAGCGCACGTTTGTAATATGTTTAATTTCACAATGCTTGTGGGTATACAATATTTTTTGTTGTTCCATTGTCTGTGCAGATATAGAGATTGTCTGGTTTGCCGACTCTAGAACACACAACATATAATTGTCCATGTGAGAAGCAATCCGTGTCTAGATCTAAACCGCACAATTCTAAAGATTGGCCCTGAGCTTTGTTGATGGTGATTGCAAACGCCAATCGAATTGCAATCTCTTAAATTGAAATGGCATATCCGTTGGAATCATAAGCATGTTTTTACCTGTCACAGGTGTGACATCTATATAATAGTAGGTATATAAAAACACGCGCGTATTCAAAAGCAACGTTGTGTCAAAATTTCAAAGCAATCGGTGAAGAACTTTAGGAGATTTAAGATTTTGAACAAACGAACATTTACATTTTTATTTATATAGATTTGTTAAATTTATTTGCTGCCCATCTCATCCTGGGTGGCTTACAATTGCAAAACAGGAAAAAATGATAAAATGTAAACGTAATAATAACAAAGCAATGAAGCAGTGAAAATAATAAAAGTTCAATACTGTAATATGAATTAAAAGATAGGCAGAGGAGGAGCATGAAGCACAAGGGGAAGGTGGTTAGTCCAGTAGCCACCTCTGCGCTGGGTTTGGGCAAAAATGTAAAACACAATAATTGTTTACACGGTTGTGTAAATGCGAGCCAGTTTCTGAGGGCCCAAAATACAGTTACACGATGGAGAAGGATGGGGCGGCCGTTGAAATGTCAGAACTGAAATACCAGATAAACTTAGGGAAGCTACCTATTTTTCTAGCAGCACAAATTTTTTTTATCTAAAAAAAGCCACACAAACGCACACTAAAGCATTGCCCCACCTCACCGCTCAATCACAGTCTTATTTGTGCATGTATCGCAGTCCTATTCAAATTCAATGGAATTCACTACCTGATAAGCAGGTTTACGATGACAGTCTGAATTGAACAAGAGGATTTAATTACCAACTTAATTTCCCCTTAGGAATTTCTCCACCCCTGGGGTTTTAACTGCTCTGATGAAGTTTCCTGATGCTTCAGACACTTTCAATTGATATCCAATGAAAAAAATGTTACGTGCTCTGCTCTTCTCACTCCTTTGAAGCAGCCTTTGATGAAAAAAAAAAAACCTAGAATGGAGAAGAAATGAGTAAAAACGCAGCACAAAATCATTTCTCCTGGGCAGGAAAAGTGGTATGGGATAAAGTAATTTGTAAATCTCAAGGCAAAACCCACTTCCATCTTCAGGCTCTCTCAACATATTGCAGATGGTGGAATGTGTCCAAACCAGCTGGTAGAGCTGAAAAGTGATTTTCATGACTATTCACAACTACGTTCATTGCTCTTAGAAAAAAAATAGCTCATTAAAAAAGCTCTTCTTTGCACATAAACTCAGAAAACAGGAACTATGTTGACGGACTACACATGTTTGGTATTACAGGAGTGGGTGTGCAATCATCCAACTCAATTCTTTTCACAAAGTGCACAGTGGTGGCATTGTCCCTTGTGTTGTGCCATTAATTGTTCTTATTTAGACTCAGGAGCTCACATGGGGGAATTGTGGGACCCAAATTTCAAGACGTGGTAAATGGTTTTGATCATAACACCAGTGGGTTTTTTTGTAAAAAAAAAAAAAAAAAGGTGCCGGAACTCACACATGTCATATAATCCGCCTTGCCTACCCTACAAGGTTCCATCCAAAAAAGGTGCCGGAATTCCGTTCTAGGCATTCTATGACAAAAAAAAAGCCTTGCATAACACCCAGAACCCAACCCGGTCTTTCAACCAAATATCCAGGGCAGTTTGCAAAGGCATCCGAGTGCAATTAAAAAACAATTATAAATATACCTTAGATCAGGGGTGTCAAACTCAATTTCACTGAGGGCCGCATCAGCATTGCGGTTGCCCTCGGGGGGGGGCAGGTGGGTGTGGCCAGGGTGGGTGCAACCTACTGAGTGGGCGTGGATGGAGTGGGTGTGGCCTACTGGGTGGGAATGGCCAGCTCTACATCATTCGCGTCAAGGGGGCCTGTGGGGGTCTGGGCAGGAGTGGGACACTTCTGAGGGTCTCTGGCAG